TTCCACCGAAGAACGCGAACCTTGCTACGTTCGTAGCGATGCCAGTTTCGCCCCGAACGTAGCGTCCTTGTTCCTAGTAGGTTGGAATTCGGATCCTCTGCGACTCAGAATTCTGTGGTTGGTCTCGTTGGACCAGTTTTTCCTCAAGTTCAGGTGATTGGACCAGAGCTACCGAACGACCTTCAACGACCTTCTTTCGGGGTGTCCGACATGGAGATCCCTATTCAAGATATGTTCACATCCTCGAATCTCCCGGAGATTCCGAATACGTGGATTGTGGACGTTACAAACAAAAGCTGTTTTGCAATCTGGTCGATGCCGCCCAAGACATCCGTGTCATTCTCCACATCCGTCTTCCACATCGACCGAAGGGTCGTCGCAAGGCGTACGCGGCGGCGCTGAAGGAGACCGGTGGAGTTGGGTGCGACCGGTTGGAGACCAGGGGAAGCCCGGCGGATGGAAAAACGCGGTAGAAGCCTGGTTTTGGAGGGCTCTATAGCGCCCTGAAAATCACCTTCAATGCTTCTGCTCTGCTCAAACTGCAAGATTGCCAGGTTGACCCGGCCCAGCCGAGTTGGGCAGAGCTTCCGTTCAGGATTACCTACCAGCCCACACGACTTACTCGCTTCACACCCCACAGCGATGCCATTCCGACCTAAGAGCAATGGCCTCCAACCTAAGCACATGGAGAATGAGGTAGACTTTGACGCACCGAAAGTTTAGCAATAATCGGTCGATGAAACGCCCTGTTAAGGCAAGATTGTCTACGAAGACCATGTTTCAAGGCAAAATGGTTTACGGGGAAGGACCCCCAAAGTCCACGGTTTGGGCCCAGCCTCTTGTACAATTGTTAAGATGACATCAAGAATCAGGTAAAGAGCATGTTGAAGGTATTCAACATATCAAAATTGGTGCTGAAAGGCGTTTGAAAGCAGTCGGGGACCTGGTCTAAAGGCCAGGTCAGGAGTTGTTTTGCATGTGTATCTGTGTGGATTGCTTCTGGATGTTCAGGAGTTTGCAAAAGAACTGGAGGGTCAGAGCTTAAGGATGCTTGTTCGTCTGTCTGGCAGAACGGGTTCCGCGGTGTTCACCTCCCGCTTTAGGAGCGCCTTGGCAAGGTGAGGGCCGAAGTTGAGCTGCAGGCCAGGGGGCACCAGGAAGATCATCCTTCGGTTGGAGCAGGTATTAGAAGAAGACTTTTTGGTAAGCGGCATATATTTCATTGGGATCTTGGCAAGGAAATGCTTTCCGGTTCAACCGCGGCGGGATTCAAGACACGCGGCCAGGAACTCCTTTTTTCAAGTGTTTGAGTTGCAGCCCCAAACCGAAGTCGGTGTTGCACCAATTTCAAGCGTATTCAGATGTGTCTGGATTCGTTGCGGCAAGAGTTCGATCCGGGGCAAAGATCCTTTCATTCCCTCCATGTTCATGTGCTCATGTGCTGCGGTGGAACATGCAAAGCTGCAAATGTCCAGTACCACATTACTACTAGTAACAAAAAGCTACTAGGTTGGAGGCCATTGCTATTAAGTTGGAGGCCATCGCTACTAGTAACAAGAAGCTACTAGGAGCAAGGACGCTACTAG